TGGACCTAGGGAACTTGATCCAGTTACTGAACCAATGGAAGAACTGGTATCGGTAACAGACACTGATTTGATAACGCTTACCCAAGTCGAAGTTGGACCTAGGGAACTTGATCCAGTTACTGAACCAATGGAAGAACTGGTATCGGCAACAGACACTGATTTGATATTGCTTACCCAAGTCGAAGCTGGACCTAGGGAACTTGATCCAGTTACTGAACCAATGGAAGAACTGGTATCGGCAACAGACACTGATTTGATATTGCTTACCCATGTCATTCCTTATCTTAAGACCATTAGAATTGAAAATTACTGAAATCATTCTGAATGAAGGCTCTTGTAGATAACATTATGAAGTTTAAATGTGTCATAAAGATATAATTTTTAAGTTGTGGTTGCTGTTCATATTTAAATAAAATGTTAAGTGTTCACAGTGAAGCACATGACAATAAAGATATCCATGGTGGTTGTATGGGTTGTGAAGCTGTGTGGGTTTGTAGGTAGGAAAATGGGAAGTTCTGATGAGTCCATGTCACCTGGATACAAATAGGCAAGATGAAGCATGTTTTACAAATAACTACATTGTACATTTGGGAGTTTATTATGAAATAAATATTATAGTTAATCTGTTCTCTTTAAAGCATTAAATTTTTGTTTTATTTCAAAAGATGTTTTTTATGAGCATTTGTGTTTACAAATTAGTGATTATGATGTACGTGAATCTCACAATTGAGTGTTTGTAAATATTGTAAAACTTAACTATGTTAATTGAATATCTGAGGAAAGTTATGTAATTTTCCATCTGTAGCCCTTTTCCCCCACCTGCACCAAAGAGTGCAGAAGTTGTTTTTAACAAAAATTGTAATGTATTGGCAGATTTTAATGAAACTCCCCAATATCAAATTTAATGAAAATCTATTGAGCTGTTCTCAAGAGACAGATATAATAGGATCACGTTTATTATTTTCAATTGGACACTGGAGTACCAGAATGTTCTTGTGAATTGTGGTTGTATCACCGTGTGGTCCTTTCTGTGGTCATAAACGTTTCAGAGGAAGTCACTTCTACCTGAAGATGCAGGTGAGACATTTCTCTACACAAGACTACAACCTAGAAGATCTCAGCTTACATTTTGAAACTACGAAAATCTGAAGCATGAAAATGTACTTCTTTGTCAAACATCAAGAGGAGGTATTGTCGATTTTATTATTTCAAAAGTGGCGGGTGTGGTAAGTGAATGTTGAGCTCAACTTTCTGACATCTATTGGCAATATTCTCAACTTATATCCAGACATGATAGTGATGAATACTGGCGAATGTCGCGCAATCTAGTGATTCAAATTTGAAATATTCACACATGAATTCCGTGGAAGGTTACCCCGGGGCGGAAGTCTACTACTTGATTAGTGTGTTATCTTTGTAAATGTCAGGATATAAGTAAACATTGTTTCTACTTGTTGAAACTTGTATAAAAACTACCATTCCAAAATAAATAAGTGTTGTGTTCTTTAAAGTTAATGTAACGTACTTTCTCGGGATACATCGTTTCCTTTGACTAACGTAGTGTACTGCGTGAAGTGGTAGCCATTTTATACATTACCTAATCAAAGGTCCTTTCGATAGCGGTTTCATTGTCTGGTTTAAAACCAGGAAATTATCAAATACAGACCGTCAAATGGCGTTAAAACGAATTAATAAGGTAAAGCACAATTTTGCTTCTAAGTTAGTTTACGTCAGTCAAATTTTCTGAATGTAGTTTGATGAGGAAAAGCGTTTAACGCCCATAACGATTTTCTAGTATTGTGAAGGAGGATTGAACATGTAATTGTTGTATTATAGATTGGAGTGAATATCCAAATTATATACATTTACGGTGTGTTATTTTGTGAGATTAGGTTCAGAAAGATATGCTTTATCAATCTTGGAAGGTTCCATAGCATCATTACAGTAAAATTGAGTTTTGGCAGGTCTGATGAGTAATAGTAGGAAGTAACTTCTGAATCAATCATTGATAGCCTATAGTATATGATGGATTTTCCATATTGAAGTTCCTTAAAGTAGGTATCCCAGGATGATGGCATGTATGTATTTCAACACTTGTATTTTCACCAGTGTTTTATGGGAAGATGAATAATCCTTTGACTTTACTGAAGTTTATATTTTGGTATACTTTTTATGTAAGTGTATATCTGGAGGTATTTAATGGTTTTATTTTAGGAATTGCAAGACCTGGGTAGGGATCCACCAGCACAATGCTCAGCAGGACCTGTTGGAGATGATTGTAAGTGTGTTTATATGTAGATATTTTTGTATTAAATTAGTCTCTTACATTGCTTCTGTGCATTTTTAAACATGAATTACAGTAGTTGGTGAATATTTACTGCTTGTTTTTATTCCAAAGGGAAATAAGTACTATACAGAAAGCAACAAAGTATTTGGAATATAATAGTTTAGAGAGAGTGTATAATTTGTGATATTTCAAAATCTTAGATTGTGTTTGCAGTATTGGTGTATTGTTTACAGGGGATTCCCTGTTATGATATGTCATCTAATCATGATGCCTTGTAGTCTTATATGTGATTATAAGCATCTGCATTTTTACATTACATTTTTGATGTGTGATGCTACTGCTCCAAATCAGGTCAAACTGTTGTGTATCCTGTGTTGGTTCAAGATCATGCAGGTCTGTTTCTGGAAAAAAAATTTGACGTAAATACGTCTATAAGGAAGGGTCATTTGGCAAAAATGTGTTACGAAAAAGGGAAACAAAAAAGTGTAACTTCATTGTTATGTTACCTAGGAAACGTCATCTGTTTATCAACAAATAAACAACAATGGTTACCTAGGAAACTTCATCTGTTTATCAACAAATCGATGATAATGGTTACCTAAGGAAGATCTATTTACTTGGCATTTTTGTTACCTAGGAAAATAAACAACAATGGTTACCTAGGAAACTTCATCTGTTTATCTGTCTGTTTACTTGGCATTGTTGTGTTAACTAGGAAATGTCATCTGTTTATCAACAAATAAACAACAATGGTTACCTAGGAAACTTCATCTGTTTATCAACAAATCGATGATAATGGTTACCTAAGGAAGATCTATTTACTTGGCATTTTTGTTACCTAGGAAACGTCATCTGTTTACTCAGCATTGTTGTTACCTATAAAACATTTCATTACATTATCTTACCTTACATTTCATTTCATTACCTTACCTTACCTTACATTACCTTACCTTACATTACATTACCTTACCTTACATTACATTCATTACCTTACCTTACATTAAATTACATTACTTTACATTACATTCAGCTACCACAGACCCATCTTAAGTGTAACTAATTCAAGTTAAATAAGCAAAGTCTTAATCAAACTATTTACTCAATTTAAAGCATGTATAAAGGAAATATTTAGAATAAAGCCAATATATAAACTTCCTTTCCGTATAGACATATTTACGTCTAATTCTCCGGAACCGTGGTTCCACTGACAACTTTTTTGCACTCTTGAACATTAAAATTGCTATATTTCTTACATATGACCAAGAATCCTCTTTAAGTGGTGAGGTCATGACCTGAAATCGGGCCGAAGCACCGTAGATGATGATATTTCTTAAATTGTATCCCCCTTAATTCTAACAAATGCAGCCTCTGAGGTATAAGTTGATGCTTCATTTTCTCTTGAGTTTCTTATATGTATAAGTGTTTATTTCTTTAAAATTAATGAAAGCGAATTTCTCAGGCCCCTTGTATGAGTAAAATATTGTAATTACAATTGGTGTATCCTTTGTCCAGCCACATTCTTTTTTTATTACAAAGAAATGTTTTTATTGAACATCCATCTTGTATTTACATTGTATATTTCTCTTTGTTTCCAGTGTTCCATTGGCAGGCTACAATCATGGGGCCAGTAAGTTCGCTTTTGTAATGTTATATTGAAAGTTGTTATTAAAATGGTGGGTTGTACTTTTGTGACCAAACATTTCTGTCTTAGCAGATGCTGTATCTCAAGTAAACATATTAGTCGTGATTACGATCGAATTATTGTTGTAATAATATGAAAATGATTGCTTTTTCACAAGTGTTGCTTGCGAAAAACATTTCGTGTGTTAGTTTTTAGAGGTATATTCATAAAATATATTATTTAGTATTATGTTTGATTTTTAATTTATAACTAAAATACTTTTGAGGAATTTAATTAATTTCTAACTTCGTAATAAACTCATTTAAGAAACTTGAGGTTAGATTATGTTATGTTTGGTTACATCAGTAAGAAAATTCCCTCCTTTGTTAAACTTGCACAGTGCTCATATCGTGTGTGTAACGGAGAACTGTGATTTGGTTGGTGTTACTGTGCAGAGTATATACTGAGCATATCATACTAACCTTCCTGACCCCCCCCTTCTTTTATGTGCTAAGTTAGATGATGCAAGACTAGATAATTTTTTGTAGCTTGAACATTTTGCGAGAAACATATTTATCTGCTCATTTGTTAACGTCGGTGAACAGAGTAAATTTTTGTCATTTCATTTATAACCTTACAGTGTGCAAGTTAGGTCAAGCCAGATGGTTATTATTTTTTAAATTTCTTTGTCAGGGTATATTCTCTTTGGTACACAAATTGATAGCAGCATTTATTGTATGATTTAAATTCTCAACACGTCAGTGCCTAATATTTTATAACTGCTGATTATTATATTTCCCGTTGCTCTTGAACCAAATACGGCGTACATAAATCAACATATGGTCTATGCCTATGATGCGTAAATTGTGTTTTGTAGTTTTTTTTTTGTATTTATCTGATATTTTTTGTGCCTGCTTTTTCTCTGTAGTGACATTGTTTTAGTTCTTATTTAATTTAATCGTCTTCCTCGTATGATGATCACTGTTGTAGAGGCAGTACATAATTCAGGTACAAGGATTATTACTATGAAAATTATTGAACTTACCCTTGTGGATATTAGAAGCATTTGAAGTCTAGAAGGTTAATTTTTAATGTAGTGTGTAATATTGTGTCGTTTCTTACAGCCTGACAGTCCGTACCAAGGAGGGGTATTCTTTTTAACAATTCACTTCCCCACAGATTATCCTTTCAAACCTCCAAAGGTAAGGTATTTTATTTTTCACCTTTTTAACATTTATTGCCTCGTATCACGTCTTACGCGTTGCCCCGATGGATTTTTCATATCGGTAAACCATTAATCCTCAAGTTAGTCTGGCCAGCAGCTCCGTAGTACAAGGGTTTAAATCAGCTGTTTCTGTACGATAAAGGTTACTTGCGTAAAAGATTCATAAATTTTTTATAAAACAAATTAGCGGTCGTGTGTCTTTCCTGTATTTTATAGGATGTTCGTGAAATGTTGACCATTATCAGGGGATGATATTGGGTATTTATTCCAAATCTTTACGCTGGATCTTTGGCTGGATATGTTTACATACAATGTTAGAACCAAATCCAAGCCCTACGGTTGCGTTGCGGAGGCATTATTGAAAAACG